GAAACCTAAATACTTCAGCAATCACCTTCAAAGAACAAGCATATTTACCTACAAATCAGAGTAACATTTTCACATCTAAGGAAATTTACTGTACTTCCATATCATCTAATATCCAATTCATGTACAAATTTTCTCAAATGCCACACAAAATGTCTTTTATAATTAAGTTGCTCAAATTTGGATCCAGTCAAATTTCATGTACTGAATTTGTTTGTTTCTTTAGTCTCTTAGTGTAAAACACTATCCCTACCTCTTTTCCCCATGGCATTGACTTTTTGATAAGTCCAAGACCATTGTCTCATAAAATGTCAAACACTCTCTATTTTTCTATATTTTTTATTGCCTATACACTGGGCAGACTTAATTTAAATCAGGTTAAACATTTTTTACAAACATATCCTACAGATCATGCTTGATACTTCTCACAAAATCAAATTAGGGGGCAAATGAGATCAGTTTATACCATTATCAGTGATACTAACTTTGATCAATTACTTAAAGTGGTGTCTATAACGTGGCTTCACTGTAAAGATCCGTTATTTCCACTTGCAATTAGTAATTAACCTTTGAGTAATACACTGAAATTATGTGACTATACTGTTCCTCAATATTCTCTTACCTAATAGTTCTGATCAATCTCTAAAACAGGGTAGTAAGGTTGCAAATTAGTGATTTCTCAATTTCTATCTTTTCTCCTACATTTATTAGCCAGTATTCTTATATAATAAACATTTTTCTTTCTTTACCAACACCATGAGTTTTTGTCTATTTTATGGGTCAATATCATATGCTGCTACTCATGTTGCCTCCAAATGTCATCAAGTGTTAGTCCTTTCAAGCAGGTTCTTGTGTCCATTTTGGATATGATTGCTATTAGCGTTTCAAGTCTTCCTTCCTTAGCCAACTGTATTGGATAAAATTTATTTTCCTTCATATATACTTAAACTCAGCCATTTCTTAAGCATGCCTGGTGCCTTTGAAAAGGGAATGCAATTTATAACCAAAGAAATCAGGCACTACGTGTATGCATTGCTTTTTGGGTAGAATCATTTCAAGACTGGTACAATGAATACAAGTTTTGATTTATTGTTTTATTTTTAAATTATAAATTCATATAGACATTCCCAATTTTACCGTTATGCTATAAAAATTTTCTTTACATCTTTAATTTTATATATGTATTTATCTTTTCTTAAACCATAAATCTTGGCTTCTAACAACTTTAATACATTTATTTTTATTCTATCCTTGTGAGATATACATTTCAAATCATAATTACATCACTGCAAAAAGAAAGTCCTACTAGATCATGTTTAAAACTTCTATTAGCTCTTCTTATTTTTAGAGTATATCTTGTGAAGGATGAATCATAGACTGTGTTGTCAAATTAGTTGAAATAACGGCTTTCTCTATGTGATTATGTTCTCAAGTTGATAGACATTTAGATTCATTTACTTTTTTGGTGTTCAGTTTTAGGATTAATAATATTTATCTTTTTGATTTAATGTTAGTTTGGGGTGTGAAAAACATCAATATGAGTTAAAAGTCAAAATCATATAAGGAGGTAGACTTAGAGCAATCTAGCTTGTTATCCCTTCCCCTTCAGCATTATTTACCACTGATTCCCTATATAAACATATTATTTGTTTAATTTTATAACTTTGTTGAGATAAATTTCATATACCATATATCCCCCTCTTTTCAATAGTTCTGAGTATATTCACAGAATGGTGCAACTGTAATCTCTGTCTAATTATTCCAGAAATTTTCATTACTCCAAAAAGAAACCCCATGCCCATTATCAGTCAGTTTTCACTTCCTCACTTCCCAGCCCCTGGCAACCACTAATCCACTTTGTATTGGTCTCTATAGATTTATTATTTCATGTAAATGGATTCACATGTGGATTTTTTGTGTCTGACTTATTTCATTTAGCATAATGTTTTCAAGGTTCAACCATATTATACCATATATGTATAATCAGTATTTCATTCCTTTTGATGGTTAAATAGTATTCTTTTGTATGGAATATATGATATTTTGTTCATCCATTCATCTACTGATAGATATTGGGAAATTTTCCACCTTTGGTCAACTATGATAATGCTGCTATGAGCATTTTGCATAGGATTTTGAACAGACAATGTGTTTACATTTATCTTGGACATATACCACTGAGTGAAATTCTAGAGAGTCATTTTAAAAAAAAATTACTGTACTTCTTATGACAAAATAAGAAAATATGTATATAGATATGTAGAGTGTTTCTATATTCTTGTTTTCTTCTTTATTCTTATAAAAACTTTAGAATATTATGTACTCTAATTTATACCTACCTCTTTCTATTTTTTATGACCATACAAGACTGCCTGGTCAGATGTACCCTCATTTACTCTACAAGTTCATTTTTGCAACCTTTTGTTATTAAAATTATGCTGCAGTGACAAACCCTGTACACTTTCTGTTCTGTATCTGTGGAGGTGTGTCTTTAGAGTAGTTGCTTGAAAGTGGGATTGCTACTTCAAAGGGTAACTGAATATGCAAATTTGTTAGATATTGCCAAATCCTCTTCCTTTGAGACTGTAGAGAATCAGTACTGCAATGTATCCGAATGCCTGTTTCCCTATTGTCTCATCAACAGAGACTGTGCAATAGAATTTGCCAATAAATGATAGTTCAGTGTAAGATTAATTTGCATCTTTATTACTAATGAGTGAGCTTCAGTAGTTTTCCACATATTTAAAGGCACCTGTCTTTCTGTGATTAATCTGTTTATGTCTCTTTTGGTTTTATGTTTTTGGGGTTTTTGTTTTTTTGTTTTTTGTTTTTTGTTTTTTTGGTACCAGGATCGAACTCAGAGGCACTCAACCACTGAGCCACATCCCCAGGGTTCCATTGAGTTGCTTAGCATTTCACTTTTCCTGAGGCTGGCTCTGAACTCGCGATCCTCCTGCCTCAGACTTCTGAGCTGCCTGGATTACAGATGGGTGCCATTGCGCCTGGCTGTTTTATGGATTTTGAGGACCAAGATTTTTGAAGTAAGCCAGGTGGCTAGCCTCTGGATGGGTGGAAGCAGGCACCCTGTTACCCACTACCAACAGGGACATTTTCATGAGTCCTTGGCTCTTGTCACATGTTGAGACACTTATAAAATCACAGTTTAAATTGTCTTTAAAGATTATATGATCCTGTACCCTCACATGAAGAAACTGAGGTTCAAAAAATGGGAGACATTTTCTTTTGATCACATAAAAATTAAAGGTAAAAGTGTAACTTGAACCCAATATTTCTTTGCCCAGGGAAATTTCAAATTAACATGCATATTTTCTATTATTTATTTTATTTTATTTTTTCTTACTTCTCTATTTTTACTAAGACGACCACAAACTACTTTTTGGAGATAAAACATCCCTTCATGTTGTATATTAGGCTAAAATGCAAACATTGGCAATAAACATAAATATAAACGCTATCCTCTTGTAAATTATACTTATTATCTATACCAGTGTATGTAACACTCATTTACTAAGGAAATGTTAAAAAATCCAAAATTAGAAAAAGTCAAACCTGGATTAGATATTTGGTGAGATATCATAGAGAGACCTGAAATCCAGATGGACAGAGTGCTCAGAATCTCTCACAGTGGGGTGCTGACAGGGTCATTAACCAGAGGCTCACCCTCACTAAAGGACTCAAGTTTAGGTGTTTGAAGTCCTCTCCAAATAAGGTTAAAATGTCTCATGATTACATTTTTTAATAAGGACAACTTTATTTGCTAAATATATGTTTTAAATGCATTGCAATTCCTCTAAGCTTACACCAAACTGTTTAATGTACCAGGAGAAGCCTTGAGAGTGACCTGCCTGCTGAGCAGGCTAGCAGCAGAAATGAAACTAGAATACATGCATGCTGACTCCTGAACACAGTGCTTTCCACATTTTATTGAGCCAGGTAAATTCATCTTTATTTACAACACTAAATTCTTTGACCAGGAAACACCACTGTGGGGCACAAGTGCCCCTTTCACCCACCTATCTCAGAGCCTATCACCAGGCTTACTGTCTGTAATGCTGTTTCTTTCTGCCACCAGGGCAAGAAATTGACCAAAATCTTAACAACTTTCATTTGTTGAGAGCCACTTATGTGCCTGTGCCATATGCTATACTTCTGTTCACTGGGTTTTGTTTTGAGGTACTACATATTGAAACCAGGGGGCTTATTCATGCATAAGCAAGCACTCTACCACTGAGCTATAACCACAGACTTTTAATTCTTTTATTTTTGTTTTGAAATACGGTCTCACTAAGTTGCCCAGGCTGTCCTCAAACTTGCAATCCCCCTGCTTCAGCCTCCTGAGTAGCTAGGATTACAGGCATGCACCACCATGCCAAGCTGGCATTACTTACTCTTTTCTGTTTTCGTTTTTTGTACTGGGGATTGAATCCATAAGTACTTTTCCACTGAAATATATCCTCAGCCCAATTTAGGTTTTCTTTATTTTTGTTGTTTTCTTTTTGAGTCAGGGTCTCACTAAATTGCTAAGGCTGGCCTTGAGCTCGTGATCCTCCTGCCTCAGCCTCCTGAGTTGCTGAGATTACAGATGTGCACCTGGATAGCTGTATTCACTCTAATACATAAGTCTTGTATGGTAGGTATTACTATTCTCATGGTAAAGATGACAAAATAGAGTCTCAGAGCAGTTTGACTAAGATTACCCAGCTAAATAAGTTATAGAGCTAGGATTCAAAACCAGGTTTATCTCTCAGTAAAACCTCTTCCCAGTCCAACTACCTGAGTGTTACACTTCAACTAAGACAATCTAGCTACATGATGGCTCTGAGAAGATACACACAATGGTAAAGGCAAAATCACCTTCCTCACATAGCACTCAGCCTGACCAGGAAGCAGTTGGGAGTGAGAGGCAGTTTCTCTGTAGCTCTCCCACGTGACCCAGTCAACCTCCAACAGGAACTCTTTCTGAAAACTACACAGTTACTTACTTGACCAAGTGTCTTATCAGAAGTTCCAGCATCTCACGGTTCTTTTCTGGTAGCTTATAAACCAGGGAGTGAATAGCTCCTAGCCGATAATCCAGGTTATCAGACTCTGTCAGAAAGAAGAGTGTGAAAGATGTTTGGGTTTGTGGGCAATTGCATTGAACAAACTCTCATATGCACATACATATACAAACACACAAGCAGAGACACACACACAAACACAGATACGGAGAAAGACAACCAGAGACACAGAGAGAATCAAAAAGATGAAGAGATAAATAGGTACAGAGACAATGACAAAGAGAATCCAAGAAGAAAGAGAACAAAAGTCAGAGAGAAAAAAATAGGCCTTTTAAGATGAAGAAAAATTGAAGATAGAAGAGGAGGAGGAGGGGAGATGATAAGGCTGTTTTAAAGGCAATCAGAATTCTAGCCACAGCAGATTGTTCCTAAAATCCCACATGTAAACCTCTGTTTGACAACCCTTTCCCACCCACCTTCCTTGTGGTACTGTTGCTGCCTCTGGGCTCTTATGAAAATCAATGAGAGAGCCCAGAAGCACTGAGCAAGGCTCCCTCGCCTCAAAAACCTGTCAAGAGGTCAAATCCCCTGAATCCTTATCATTTTCCCTACACAGATCACCATGAAGGATAAGGGCTGTGTACAGGCAGGAGAGACAGTCATAAAGTGGCCTCACCCAACATGGCTAATGCTTCCTTAATGGCCAATCTTTGGGGTGACTCTATATATCCTAGTTCACATATACCCCTCTACCATCACCCTCATTTTTCATATCTAGAAAATGTGATCTTGTGCTAACAGATTAAGAGTAAGTACTCACAACATAATTGAAAAGGCATTTGAAAAGGCAAAGTGCTAAAGGAAGCTGAAACAGCAATTGTAATGTAACCATTTTGCTGTCCCTTGTTAATATGAGCCAATTCTCTTGTTTTGAAGTAATAAACAATAAATAAATAAACCAAAGTCTTTATACTTGTCGCATCCTTCAAGTTAGCCCATTTCTTCCAATCAACTCAGCTAACATTGATTTATGAAAAATCATATAACTCTTGAGTTAGCAAGCAGGAATATTCTCATTTGGCAGTGGGCAAAATCTGTGTATGTGTTTTGGGGTTTTGTCCCTCAAGTAGTTTTCAAGATTTATTGTTGCAAACTTTACTAAGAAACCAGGACAACACAATAACTAGTAACATAAATACTTACTGGCAGCAGAGACCAGCTCTTTGTGAAGCCTATAGGTCATGACAGGTTCAGAAAGATTCCTGAAATTAATGAAGACTGTAAGTTCCTTTGGGGAGGGTGTAGCCAGACCTTGGATTCTCATTCTGTGGACTGTGAGGGCAATGTTTCTGAGCCCCACAGCCTAGTGTGATTGCATACATTTTTCTCTGTACCTAAAACAGTGCCTAGTAATTCAACAGAAGACCTAGAAAAATATAGACTAAAGCTTCTAAAAAGGTCTCTAATTGCTACCCAAAGATAATGGAAGTGTAAATAAGTCCTGCAAAGTTCCAAAAGAGACACGTTCTAAATGCTACCGTGAATCCCTTACAATCTGATATATGCATAGAATTTCCAAGAACTTTTGCATCTATTCTTCCATTTCATCTTTCCAATGATCCCATCAGGTGGAACTGTTATTCAAATCATTATTTAATTGAAGAAGAAACTTAGGTTCAAATTTTCTTCATTTAGTCAAAAAATATTTGCTGAGTACCTACTTGTTCCTGGAATTTTGCCAGGTTTGGTGGATCCAGAGATGAATAAGTATAGTCCAAACCCCCCAAGGAGCTAATTCTAGTGGAGGAAAGAATCATACACAAAATTTTCCATGCAGTGGGACAGGTGTAAAAAATAAATATATGTTTTGAGAAAGGAAGGAAGTAAATAATAATAATAGTAAACTTTGCATCATTTTAAGTGAATTGTGTGCTTTAATTTATTTAAATCTTATGATTACCCTGTGAGGTAAATACCAAGATTATATCCATTTAACAGATGAGGAAACTGAGACTCACAAAAGTTAAAGAATTCATTCAAGTTTACATAACTAATAACTGGCAGAACAAGGCAGTTTGTCTCCAGACTCCCTGTTCTCAATTAATATGCTACATGACCTGCCATTATTATTGTAGCAATCAGGGGATAATAGGTAATAGAGACCTGAACAGAAATAGTGGAAATAACATACAAAGACAAGGTGAAGAGGCTCCTTTGAAAGATATTAAAAAGACAATTCCTTTATTGATTGGGTATGATGGTGAGGGAAGGACTAATTTGGTTTGGGTGAGTAGACAGAATAGGAATGGATTAAGAGGGAAATAGAGAGGCTAAACCAGAGGGAGTTCTAAGATAGCCAGGGGGAAATAACTATTAAGAAGGTGAAAGCAGGGCCCTTGTAGGTCTGAAAAGCAGATTTGGAAATCATGAACCCAGAATGGTGGTTAAAACCATGAGAACAGATGGCCCTGCTCTAAGAGAGATGTCAAACTAACAGCCAAAAAAGGCTTTCTGACATTTCCTTTCTGATTATTTTTGTTTTGTTTTGTTTTATGTCTAGTACAGTGTATAAAAGTGAAATGAAATTGAAACAACAATCAAAATAAGAAAAGTTAAGATATTTCATATAAAAATCTCTATTTCCATCTCTATTGAAAAATGGAATGATCTGGCTCCTTTAGATTACATGGAAGGTTGCAGAAGTAAAAAATATTTCTGTTTATGTATAAAGGGATTGCTATGCAAATAAAGGTTCATTATGAAACATGTTTAATATGAAAACTGTCTACTTTATGCATTTTCATTTCCTGGACCCTATAGATATTTGAATTTTCCATCCCTCAGTGTAGTAGAAAGAAAACATAGCCCTGGGAAATATCAGGTAGAACGTTTATAAAGAAGATGGACAAGAATGGCAATGAGGCAAAAGAAAATCCAAACTCAAGTGATATTACAAAATCCAAAAGATGAGAAAGTTTTAAGGAGGGTTTGTTAACAGTTTTTAACTCTACAGAGAACTCAAGTAATATAAAGACTGTGTGCAGCACTAAGGGAGTCACTGGTGACCCTGGCAAGAACAGTTTCTGTGGAACAGTAGAGGTAAGAGTCAGATTAAAATGGAGTTAAGAGTAACTGGGGGTTAAGTATATAGGACATGCACAGTACTTCATACAGAGGCTAGCGGGGATGGGGTGAAGCATCTCATAAGACTGGCTTGTCTTAATCCTGGTTCTAATTATCAGCAATAGGGTTAATAATTCCCAAGTACAGCTCAAGTCAAGACCTTCTAACTGAGTTGCACTTTCAATTGCCTGCTTAACGTAGTGCCCTAGGTTCTTCAAAGACACTCACAATTTGACATATCCAAAAGCAAACTTGTTGTCCCTCTCAAATCTGGCTATCATGCATGACCATCACTTGGTTGTATGGGCCAGACATGTGGAAGCTGTCCTTTAATTTCCCTCTCCCCAATCCTCATATCTAATTCATCAACTCTATACTTCCTAAATCTTTTGAATATGTTTCTATCTACCAATCTTCACTGCTACCTCCTAGTCCAAGCAGGAATAACATCTCCTGCCTGGACCATAGAAGTAGCCTGCTTATTGACTTCCACCTCTACCAATTTTGTCTTCCTCTAATCTAGTATCCATACTATTTTTCCACAATACAAATCTCATCATGTAATCCCCCACTTACAACTTTTCTATAATCTTCTCATTCGTGATAAATCTAAAATCTAATTTTTAAAATGTCTTAAAAGGCCCAGCATCTGACCCCTATGTACTTCTGCTCTCTTTCTACACTCAATACTCTACCTACACCGGTCCATGTAGTTTCTTGAATGGCCTTCCTCCCCTCTGTCTTAAAGCATTTAGATGTACAGTTCTCTTTGTTAGGAACCACCCCCTCTCACTTGGTTCTAACTTATAGTTCAAACCAGAGTTTAAACAATCAGAAAAAGTCCAGTAATCCTATTTGTTGTGGCTATGTGATGCCCCCAAAAATTTCATGTGTGAGATAATGCAAGAATGTTCAGAGGTGAATGATTAGATTATGAGGGTCATAACCTCATCAGTGGATTGATCCAATGATGGGGATTAACTGGCTGGAGGAAGTAGATCACTGGAGTGTGACATTGGGGTTTATATTTTGTCCTTGGTGAGAAGAGCTCTCTCTGCTTTCTGATTAACATGTTCTGCAGTGCTTTCCACTATGCCCTTGCACCATGGCCCCAAAGAATGGAGTTAGCCATCTAAGAACTGAGACCTCTAAAACTGTGAGCACCACGCAAAATTTTTCATCTAAAATTATTCTTGCCAGGTGTTTTGTCACAAAGGCAAAAAAAGCTAATTAAAATGCTATTAAATGTCTTCAAAGAACACTATACCTTCTTTTCAGAACACTTATTATTGTTTGTTATATTTGTATGATTATTTATCTTGAGGTTGTGCTCCTCAATATAAACTATTTAAGATCAGAGACCATATCTCCTCTCAACTGTATGTTTACTGTATAATATCCTACTTGTCATATAATAGGCACTCAGAAAATGTTAGCTAATTTAGAGATGAGCACTTCTGGAATGATAGAGCCAGTTAAATAAAAGAGGACAGACACAGAAGAGAGAAGGGAGTGATTGTTTTAATACTTTCCTGGAAATGTTAGCAACAAGAAGTTATTTAAAAATTCAGAACACAGATGGAAACCTACTCTGGGAACACTTTTATCTTTAAGAAATCTAAAAGGTATTGATCAGCTGGTGCATATCAAAAGTTCACAGATAAGAGTCTGGAGAACGAATATCTCTTATTGGGGGTGTTGCCCACTCACAATTTCAGGCATCTCATCTTTCAAAAGGGCTATATTATAAATTATGGGATGAGTTGGAAATGATATAGGGTTGGAATAATCTTAACCTATAAATACTTTTGAAAATACTGATTCTTTTTAAGGAAGAGAGAGAGAAAGTATCAATTATTCTCACCATCACAAGTCTTCTGAAAGTACTCATAGAATATTGTTTTCTGTTTTACTAAATTACCCAACAATCCTATAAAGGTCACAGTCCCCAGTAATTGAGGACAGGGTAAGAAGACATCCCACTACCAGCAGCCCAAGTAAGAGACACTAAGGTTCAAAAAATATAGATTTGATCATGGATATTATTTAATGTGGTAAGAGTGCACCTCAATTTCCTCATCTGTAAAATGGATACTGCATCACTGATGGTACTCAGTTATTAGGAGAGAAAACAATGACACTGTCAATGTAACCAACTAGCATATTGCCTAGCATAAAATAAACCTTCCAACAGTAGTTTATTTCTTCTTTGGCAGATTAAGGAAATATACTTATGGAAAGAACATTCATGATGATGTTAACTTCTAAGATGATGATGCTATAGCAGGAGGTCATTTAACAGAATATAATCTATTGGGAATTAGTCCTGTGATGCCAAAAGAGGATGGTAGTTGAAAAATAAGACATTTTATCATATAAAGTATGGTGGCACATAATATGGGACATAAAAAGGTAAAAAAAAATAGAATGGATTTTAAATACGTATCTATCTTGGCTGAGTACAGTGGTGCATGCCTATAATCCCAGCTATTGAGGAGGCTGCAGCAGGAGGATCACAAATTTGAGGCCATCCTCAGAAACTTAGTGAGATTCAGTTTAAAAAAATTAAACATAAAAGGGCTGGGGATGTAGATCAGTGGTAGAGTACTTGCCTAGCATGCATGAGCTCTTGGGTTCAATATATATGTATACATACATACATCATATATATGTATACACACATATATATGTATACATACATATATATGTATATAGAATCACTTTTATATAAATTTATGCCAATATATTGAATAATATATTCATTGTCACTGTGCACTCCAAATTTTGCTGGTAAGTTATCTTTTTTTTTCTTACTGCTGCCACTTTATTTAGTTCTAATAATTTTATGATTGTGACTGCATTTTCTTGATTTGGTTTTTATTTTCATCATATATATATTAAGGTATGGTACTCTCATACACATACACACACACACACATTACCCAATACAATTTGATATTTCAAAACGGTTGTTATTCACTAAAATATGTTAATGATCATGAATTTTCACAAGGTGTGATTTTACTAGTGAACCCATCATAACACTAACTTTATCTGCAACAATGGAAAAACTCCTTCAATTATTCCAAGAACATTGTTAATTACTGTATTTTTTTCAAAAACATTTTCATTAACAATTATAATTTCCATGTTTCCTTTGCTTGATTTCTCATATTTAAAGAAAAGGTCTTCTAATGTACTTTCTTATTTGACAGAAATTCTCATACTCTTTGTGTGTATGTGTGGTTAGTAATCCTATCTAACTTTTTGAAACTGTGGGTTACCTCTAATCTCCACCCGAATTTCATTATCTATGAAGAGCAAAAACCCAATTCAAAACAGGCATACCTGAGGTAGAATTTCAAGGAGCTGGTGATTGTCTTAATGTCCCAGTCACTATTATGAAAATCAACATCTCCTGGGCATTTGGGATCTATTTGAGAAAAGTAAACAAAAAAAGTTAATCTTCCCTAGAGTTTACCCTTTACTCTTCTAACAAAATAAAGTGAATTTATTAAAAAATAGTTACTCAAGACACATCCAATTGTATGGCACTTTTATCAGGGGTTTTTAATACAAATAATATTGTACTTAGTGAGCACATGCACCTATATGCACATAGGAAAAATGTGGAAATTTTACTGTAATGAAAGTGAATTCTCTAAAGCTCAGTTGAAAACTAAGTGAAACTGCCAGTGGAAAGGCACTTCAATTGCCATTTCCCATTTAAAATGAACAGCAGTACAAATGGCACATAAGCCTAAATACTGAGAACTTGCCCACATGATCTGAAATGAACTCTTGGATCATAATAGTTCACCTAAGGACAAATCTCAAGGTGCACATTGATAATTAAAGTAGATTCTCAATTTAAGATGCCTGCAGGTACTATAACAGTACTGCTCCTTCAAGTTGTTCTCAGAAAGTACATATAAATTACTTTTGATTCCTTCATCTAACATTTTGATAGGAATAATTTTAACAGTCTGGCATAATTTTAGTGAGAAAGGAGGGTCAGGACACTGAGATATGGAATCAACAGTTGATTAATGGCACCAATACTCAGAGGGATTATTACTAAAGCCTGACCCCTGAGCATACCACAGCTTTTACTTCTATATATAAGTTACTCCTCAGAAAGAGAAGGGATAGAAAAAATACAATAGAAATGAAGGCTGGAAACTTAAAGAAAAAAAAAATAGTTACTCAAATGAGTTCTCAAGAGATCAAAATGTTACAAAAAGAAAGTCTTTGATATTTCAACAAGTCCCTTGCATTATGGTCCAGCATGTAAGAAGCTTAGAAGTGATCTCTTCCATTCACACTACAAGAAAAAAATCTAAACACACTGAAAATCAACTATTCATAGATTCATCATAGAAGTAATAGAACTAAGGATCATGGGGAAAACTGTTGTTATACCCCCCGCCAAAAAAAGAAACTACAGAGACATAGAGGAGGAAATTGAGAATCAAAACTTACTGTAGCAGAAGCCCAGGAGCAAAAATCTCCTAAGAAATAAATAGCAGGATAGGAAAACTTAATTTGTAATTGACTAACTGCTGGAGGCCCAATCTGTATGAGTTTGAGAGAAAAACTCCTGATCCTAGAAGGAACCCCAGTTTTAATTTTTATCTTCAGGAGCCCTATGAGGTTCTTAGAGTGAAGATCTGAGAAAAATTCTCTCATTCTTCTATGCTTCTGGAAATGCAGAAGAAAAGTAATCATCTTTATGCCCAATCTTTCTGTTCTTCATAACAGTTCCCTGAAGAGAAACTATTATAGACCCTAATCTACTGCAGTTTGACCACAAAATAACTGACCTGGCTAAAGGGAAATATTCTACTCAAGACTCAGCCTGCTTTCCTATGTCTCCTGAAGGGGAAAAACAAAACATTACTGAGAAGCACTTGGGAAGGTCAAAGGCCAGGGCACAGCTTACTAAAAGAGATATAATCATAGGCTTATAGAATATTTTCCCTCCGGTGACACCTTACCACCACATCACATGGGTGCCTGTATAATAACAGGAAAATATGACTAAAAGCTGTACCATTCACACAATATTTACAAAGTATCTATGGAAAATCAAAGATAACGGGAGACAAAAACAAGAATAGCAGAGGGAAGCTTAGCCACAATCACCTACAGCTACAACAAAGATTAACACTGGCTAAACTTTAGCCATATAAACATAAAACATCACACTAAAGCCCTATGTATCTAAGTTTCTTTTACCTATTAAATAATATCTAGCCTGCAAAAAATAGAAAAGGCATACTAAAAGAGAGAAAATATACTCTTGAGAGGCACAGTGAAAATCAGAAATAGACTTAGATATTGTAGCAATATTATCAGAATTATCATCCCAGTAATTTAAAACAAGTATGATTAACATGCTAAGGACATGGATAAAGTGAACAATTTAAAAGAGGAAATGAATAATATAGGAGAAATATGGAAAGTTGAAGAAAGAATCATTAGAAAAAAGAAACACTGTAATGGGAAGAATGACTTTAAGGACCCATCAACAGATTGGGCACAACTAAGGAAAGAATCAGTGAGCTTGAAGAAATGTCAACAGGAACTTCTAAATCTGAAATTCAATGAGAAAAAAGAATGAAAAAAAGAACAGAATGTTTCAAAGCTATAGGACAGTTATGAAAGGTAAAATATACATGCAATAAGAATACCATATGGGATGCAAGGTAAAAAGGGAAGAAATAGTTGAAGCAAAAATGACTAAGAATTTCCTAAAACTAATAATAAATGTCAAACCACCGATCCAGGAAATTCAGTGAACCCCAGGCAGGACATATACTTAAAAAAAATCTATACTGAAGTGTATTATATTCAAATATTTATACCTTTATTCTATTTTTTAAATTAAATTGTATTTTTTAATGTGATGCTAAGGATAAAATGCAGTGCCTCATGCATGCTAGCCATGTACTCTACCACGGAGCTACAACCCCAGCCTTCAAATTTTTAAAAAATTCAAAGACAAAGGAAAAATGTTGAAGGAAGAAGGAAAGAAAGCACCTTTCTTATAGAGGAGCAAGGATGCAAACAACATTACTTTTCTCTATAGAAGCCATGCAAGCAAGAGGAGAGTGGAGTGAAATATTTAAAATGTTAAAAGGTGAATGGATAAAGAAAATGTGAGATACACACACACACACACACACACACACACACACACACACACAATGGAATATTACTCAGCCTTAAAGATGAATGAAATTATGGCATTTGCAGGTAAATGGATGGAGCTGGAAAATATCATGCTAAGCAAAATAAGCCCATCCCCCCAAAACCAAAAGCCGACCGTTTTCTCTGATATGTGGATGCTAATTTACAATAAGTTGGGGGCGCTAAGGAAAAATAAAGTTACTCTGCATTAGGCAGAGGGGAGTGAAAATAGGGGAGGGGGAAAGGGAGTAGCAAGGTTAATAGAATGAATCAGACATTATTACCCTATTACATACATGATTACACAACCAGTGTGATTCTACATCATTACAACCAGAAGAATAAGAAGTTATACTCCATTTATGTAGGATGTGTCAAAATGCATTCTACTATCATGTATAACTAATTAAAACAAATTAAAAAAGAGAAGACCAACAATAAGGTGACTTTTAAACTTGCAAATATTCAGCAGCTATCTCCGCAGGCTCAAAATGAGCAGTCTCATCGTTATTATACATATCTGCCTCAGATCCTCTTCTTGGTGTAGAGAAGAAAGAATGGAAGATAAACTCTAGCTCTTAGCTTCTCTGCAAGGAAAGAAGAAACTGTAACACATACCTAAAACCCTAACGTTTTTAGCTGCACCCCAAGGGACTGGCTTATATCCTACATCTCTCAAGGCAACAGAGCAACTTACCACTCTCTAATTTCTTAGTGGTCATTAAGAACAATAAGAGCAGGTTGAACAAGCACATAGAGTTTTGAGGCATCTAAAATCTCTGGTCAGGCTGATTAGGGAGGAATGTCTTCTATAAAAGAGCACACTAACAAAACTGAGAGAGGTGGTTCTTCAATCTACTATGCAAAGGCTGACTTAAGGAAACAAAGTTAAGAAAAAAAATGAAGCATAAGGCAATATGTTTCAAATAAAAATGCAAGATAATTCTCAACAAACTGACCCTAATGAAAGGGAGATACTTGATTTACCTCACAGAAAATTAAAAAGGACATTCATAAAGATACTCAGCAAAGTAAATATAGCAAAGCATGAACAAACTGAAGTTCTCAACAAAGACAAAGAAAACATAAAATATACCAAAAAGAAAATCATGAAGCTAACGAACATAATTAAGCTCAAAAACTCAATAGAGTGGTTCAACAGCTGGCAAGATCAAGTCAAACTTGAAGACAGGTCATTGGAAATGATCTAATCTGAAAAGAAAATAAAAGAAATGATCTAATTGATTAAGGGGCTTACAGGAGACCATCAAGAAGAATAATTCAGGGCTGGGGCTGGCTCAGTGGCAGAGTGCTTGTGTGAGGCACTGGGTTTGATCCTCAGCACCACATAAAAATAAACAAAATAAAGGCTTTCTGTCCATCTACAACTACCAAAAAATTTAAAAAAGAATAATTCATGCATTGTTATTATCCATACATTATATTATATATTAAGACTGAGAGAGGTGGTAAGACTAGATAATAAAACAATAAAACAACAATGTGATGAGAGAAAAAAGGGACAGAAAAACATGTTCAAAAAATAAAGGCAGGACATCAATGTTTATAGCAGCTCAATTCACAATAGCTAAGCTACAAAACCAACCTAGGTGACAATCAACAGATGAATGGATAAAGAAAATGTGGTCTATATACACAATGGAATATTACTCAGCCACAAAGAAGAATAAAATTATGAATTTTGCTGGTCAATGGATGGACCTGGAGACTATAATGCTAAGTGAAATAAGCCAATCCCCCAAAACAAAGGCCAAATATTCTTTCTGATATGCTAACCCACAACAAGGGAAGGTACAGAAGTTTACTAGATTAGATGAAGGGAAGGCAGAGATGGGAAAAGGAAAGAGAGTAGAATGAATCAGACATAAGTTTCCTATGTTCATATATATGAATACAAGACCAGTGCAACTCATATCATGTACAACCAAAAGAATGGGAAGTTATACTCCATGTATGCATAATAGTTTAAAATATATTCTATTGTCATGTATAACTAAAAATAACAATTTTTTAAAAGAAAAAAATAAAGACAGTAACTTTTCCGAGAAAAGATTAGCAATCTAGATCTAGCAAATGTGCATTCCTTTTCTCACTCTTTAATGATCATAATGTCTATTGTGATCTATCTAGATAGGGACAAATTCTGGATATGCAGGAGTCATCACACCCAAGTATTAAATTGGTTTTACTTGAGTAATCCTGGACCAAGACGTTAATTGC